CTTTCGACTCGGTAAATCACCGGCGCCTGCTAGTAAAACTCAGGGGTTTTGGTCTCGCAATAGCTCTAATTAAACGGATAGAAGCTTTCCTCACCAACCGGATCTATAGAGTTCGGGTGGGAGAAGCTCTGTCCAACTTTGGCAGCGTATCCAGCGGAGTGCCTCGGGGCTCAATGCTAGGCCCGATGCTCTTTCTGGTGTTTATAAATTACTTGGTTCAGCAGCTACCGGTTCCTGCCTTCATCTTGGCCGACGACGTCAAACTAGTGAACTCAGGACCTGCAGATCAACTGGCCAAGGTTGTCCGGCGGACACAGATGTGGGACCAGGATCTAAACGCTACCAAGTTTCTCGTTCCAAATACCGTAGGGCTTCCGGTTCGAGTGGCTACGACCACTGAACCGACGGTCTTCGCTCGCGTGAACCGAATGCTGGGTCTGGGAATTTTGGTCCGCGGGGGCTTTAAGCCCAGTGATAAGTGTCTGACCGCGGCACAAAAAGCGAGGGGCAATTGTTCCACCCTAAGGCGGCATTGTCGTCAAGGCTGGCTGAGGCTATATAAGGCCATAGTTAAACCGCAGTTAGAATACTGCTTGCAGGCTTGGGTGCTTTACTTGAAGACGAATAGCATTGTCACTGAGAGGGTTCAACGGTTAGCTACTAGGATGATCGCGGGGATGAGGGTAAGTCATATAGGGAGAGGTTAGAATCCCTAGGGCTCTTCTCCATGGAGAGGAGACGCCTGAGAGGCGACATTATTAAAACCTTCAAAATAATGAAGGAGCTGACTGGGCTAGAAGCCGAAAGCCTGTTTACCCGAGCACCGCTCGAGTCAACAAAAGGGCATCATCTGAAGCTAACGAATCCCCGGAGCCGACTCAACCTTAGACAGAACTTCTTCACAAGTAGAGTGATAGATAAGTGGAACCAACTACCATCTTCACTATTAGACTGTAGGACAGTCGAGGCAATTAGATGGGGTCTGGATCAGCCTCTATCCCGAGATTTGGTAGAGTGCCTACTATTGAGAGTAGCTGTTCCATGCTGCCCATTCTCGAATGACCTGACATAAGGGAGGCTGTTACGAACGAAGAAATCGGTTATGGTCAGACAGTCGTCACGAAGTCGGAGCTCCGGAAGAACGTGGTTCCGGCTGGAGCAATAATCTGGACGCTCGAGTGGCGAAAGCCTTTACCATCGTGTGCCACCTGACCTGACCTGCATTTGTTTTATCGAACCTAGGTTGCTTTCATTGGTTGAAGCGCCAGCTTCGCTCCTTCTTGTCGTTTGTACGTGACCTCTCAACGATGGGCTTGAAGAAGCTTAGTATTGCTAATGTTGACCTCAAAGGCAAACGCGTGCTCATTCGGTAAACCTAATTTTCGAGAATTCTCACCTTAAATGTTTGCAGCGTTGACTTCAATGTTCCTATGAAGGATGGAAAAATCACGAACACTCAAAGGTGGTTTCCCTCCTAAAATGTGCTGTTATTTTATAGAATCGTGGCTGCTTTGCCAACAATTAAATATGCCTTGGAAAAAGGAGCGACTAGTGTAGTACTTATGTCGCATCTTGGTCGTCCGGACGGCAACAAAGTAGACAAGTACTCCCTCAAGCCAGTTGCCGAAGAGGTGTCGAAACTCTTGGGCAAGCCTGTCCAGTTTCTTCCGGATTGTGTCGGTGATGCGACTATCCAGGCTTGTAGCAATCCTGCTCCCGGATCTGTATTTCTATTGGAAAACCTGCGGTTCCATGTGGAAGAAGAAGGCAAGGGTGTGGGTCCGAATGGTGAAAAGGTAATCAGGTTTACAGGTCTTTTGAATTCCAGTCCTATTTGAGTATTTAAGCACTTCCAGCTTTCCCTTCATTGGCTAACTTCGTTATTCGAAGTCTTACTTAGT